CATTTATCTCAAGACCGGCTTCCTCAGCGCCGTGAGTCTTGAGCCAGCGATCGGGCTCGCCATCCCTTCCCGGATGGTGACCATCGCCTCTATATGACGATCGGCTTCACCATCGCCTCGTCATCATTATTTGGACCGACTCCTCATCGTCGTTGTCCTCACATCACGACCGGCCCCTCGGCCTCGGCGTGTCATCTATCTCAAGACTGGCGTCCTCAGCGCCGTGAGTCTTAAGCCAGCGATCGGGCTCACCATCCCTTCCTGGATGGTGACCATCGCCTTTATATGACGATCAGCTTCATCAGCGCCTCGTCATCATATTATAGGATCGGCTCCTCATCGCCGTTGTCCTCACATCACGACTGGTCCCTCGACCTCGGCGTGATCATCTATCTCAAGACCGGCTTCCTCAGCGCCGCGAGTCTTGAGCCAGCGATCGGGCTCGCCATCCCTTCCCGGATGGTGACCATCGCCTCTATATGACGATCGGCTTCACCATTGCCTCGTTATCATTATTTGGACCGACTTCTCATCGTCATCGTCCTCATATCACGACCAACCCCCTCGGCCTCGACGTGATTATTTATCCCTGAGACCGGTCTTAGTCATTCCTTTACCGGATGACGACCGTTGCATGGATTTTTGGACCGGCCCCTCAACGTCGTCGTCCCCACATCATACCCGGCCCCTCGGCCTCGGCGTGATTATCTATCTCAAGACCGGCTTCCTCAGCGCCAAGAGTCTTGAGCTGGCGATCGGGCTCACCATCCCTTCCTGGATGGTGACAGTCGCCTTTACATGACGATTGGCCCATCATGGCCTCGTCATCATTTATTGGAACGACTCATCATCGCCGTCATCCTCACATCGCGGCAGACCCCTCGGTCTCAACGCGGTCTTGAGCTAGCGATCGGGCTCGCCATCCCTTCCTGGATGGTGACCACTGCCTCTATATGACGATCGGCTTCACCATCGCCTCGTCATCATTGTTTGGACCGACTCCTCATCGTCGTCGTCCTCATATCACGACCGGCCCCTCGGCCTCAGCGTGATTATCTATCTCAAGACCGGCTTCCTCAGCGCTGCGAGTCTTCAGCTAGCGATCGGGCTCGCCATCCCTTCCCGAATGGTGACCATCGCCTTTATATGACGATCGGCTTCACCATCTCCTTGTCATCATTGTTTGGACCGACTCCTCATCATCGTCGTCCTCATATCACGACCGGCCCCTCGGCCTCGACGTGATTATCTATCTCAAGACCGGCTTCCTTAGCGCCGCGAGTTGAGCTAGCGATCGGGCTCGCCATCCCTTCCCGGATGGTGACCATCACCTTTATATGACGATCGGCTTCACCATCGCCTCGTCATCATTGTTTGGACCGACTCCTCATCGTCGTCGTCCTCATATCACGACCGGCCCCTCGGCCTCGGCGTGATTATCTATCTCAAGACCGGCTTCCTCAGTGCCGCGAGTCTTGAGCTAGCGATCGGGCTCGCCATCCCTTCCCGGATGGTGACCATCGCCTTTATATGACGATCGGCTTCACCATCGCCTCGTCATCATTGTTTGGACTGGCTCCTCATCATTGTCATCCGCACATCGCGATCAGCCTCTCGGCCGCGACGTGATTATTTATCTCAAGACCGGCTCCTAGCGCTGAAGTCTTGTTATAGCGATTGGGCTTGCCATCCCTTCCCGGACGGCGACCGTCGCCCCTATATGACGCACGGCTTATCATCGCCTCGTCCTCACATTTAGACCGGCCCCAGCGTTGAAGTCCTTGTCTAGCGACCAGGCTCGCCAATCCCTTCCTGGATGGTGACCGTCGCCTTCATATGACACGCGGCTTATCATTGCCTCATCCTCATATTCGGACCGACTCATCAGCGTCGTCGCCCTCATATTCAGACAGTCTTCCACCGCCTCGTCCCCCTATTCAGATATAGCGAACATCTTGCGGTCTCCGACTGAAAGGCTAAAGGAGCCCAGAGTTCAGCCATATATCGCTCTGTCATCTTTATTTGATGATGAAGAGCTCATTTGCAGGCCCTTCGGCCATATATCGCTCTATCATCTTTATTTAATGACGAAGAGCTCATCTACAGGCCCATCGGCCATATATCGTTCTGTCATCTTTATTTGATGACGAGGAACTCATTTGTAGGCCTCTGAGCCACATCTTGCTCTGTCATCTTTATTTGATGATGCGGGGCTCTCATGTAGGCCTCTTGGCCATACGTCGCCCCGTCATCTTTATTTGATGACGTGGAGCTCTCATATAGGCCTCTCTCGGCCATACATCACACCGTCATCTTTATTTGATGATGTGGGGCTCTTATGCAGGCCCCTCGGCCGCACCATCACCCCGCCGTCTTTATTTGACGACGTGGAGCTCTTATGCATGCCCCTCGGCCGCACCATCACCCCGTCGTCTTTATTTGCCGACGTGGAGCTCTTATGCAGACCCCTCGGCCGCACCATCACCCCGTCGTCTTTATTTGACAACGTGGAGCTCTTATGCAGGCCCCTCGGCCGCACCATCGCCCTGTCGTCTTTATTTGACGAAGTGGAGCTCTTATGCAGGCCCCTCGGCTGCACCATCGCCTTGTCGTCTTTATTTGACGACGTGGAGCTCTTATGCAGGCCCCTCGACCGCACCATCGCCACGTCATCTTTATTTGACGACGTGGAGCTCTTATGCAGGCCCCTCGGCCGCACCATCGCCCCGTCGTCTTTATTTGACGACGTGGAGCTCTTATGTAGGCCCCTCGGCTGCACCATCGCCCCGTCGTCTTTATTTGACGACGTGGAGCTCTTATGCAGGCCCCTCGGCCGCACCATTGCCCCGTCGTCTTTATTTGATGACGTGGAGCTCTTATGCAGGCCTCTCGGCTGCACCATCGCCCCGTCGTCTTTATTTGACGACGTGGAGCTCTTATGCAGGCCCCTCGGTCGCACCATCGCCCCGTCATCTTTATTTGACGACATGGAGCTCTTATGCAGGCCCCTCGGCCGCACCATCACCATGTCGTCTTTATTTGACGATGTGGAGCTCTTATGCAGGCCCCTCGGCCGCACCATCGCCCCGTCGTCTTTATTTGACGACGTGGAGCTCTTATGCAGGCCCCTCGGCCGCACCATCGCCCCGTCGTCTTTATTTGACGACGTGGAGCTCTTATGTAGGCCCCTCGGCCGCACCATCGCCCCGTCGTCTTTATTTGACGACGTGGAGCTCTTATGCAGGCCCCTCAGCCGCACCATCGCCCTGTCGTCTTTATTTGACGACGTGGAGCTCTTATGCAAGCCCCTCGGCCATACATCGCCTCGTCGTCCTTATTCGACAACATGGAGCTCTCGTATAGGCCTCTCGGCCCATCGGCCTTACGTTCTGGTCATCTTTATTTGATGAACCAGACATCATATTGTGGACGGTCGCTCGACCCATCCCTTAGTCATCTTTATTTGATGACTAGGACTACTGATCATGATGAGCTACCCACATCTAGAGATCGGCCTCGACCATCCCCCCAGCAGACGGGCACCGTTGCAGCTCCATCTCCAGGCCGAAGGGTTCACACCTTTTGTTTCATTTTGGGGGCATCCGGTGTACTCTTTTTCCCTCATTAGGATTTTTTCCCATACGGTTTTTCCTAATGAGGTTTTTAACGAGACATCTCCCCATCGTGGATCAAAAGGTGTCAACCCTCGGCCCCCTGTTGAAGACATCATCCGAAACGCATTACTCTACTCCTCTTCACCTCATTACACTCGCCTCAAGGAGTGGGGGACTCGAAGAGCGGGGGACTTAGCGCCTCCGTTAACCAAAGAAGCAGAAATTCAAATTTTTGTTCACGAAGTTTACTCACCAGACGACGACAGATCAGCACACAGTTCTACTCTCTTTCGCCTCGAATACTCTCGACTCAGAGAGTGGGGGACTCCTGATAAAGTATATAGACTCGGACCCCGGGTCTCACGACTATTGGACCTGGACAGCGGCCCACGTACACTCAGCTCATAGCATTTTCATTATTGTACATTATCATTATTATTCAGGTGTTCTAGATTAGCCTTTTCTATTATCAGTCCATTTATGTAACCGGGTCTGTCAGGCCATATTAGAGACCCAGACCCGGATATTCTTCTATATATACTCCCTTAGGGAGTTCTTGTAAACCCTAACTCATAATTCATACACAATATCATTTCTACTATTTATCTTCCTCACATTATCTCAAATCTCTCCTAATTAATATACTTTGGATACTTTATAATCCATCAGTGACGTTTGTACTTGGTACGTTGATCCGGCGCATGTGGGTGGGAGATTCGATGTCGAGGAGATGCCCTCGGCCGTAGATGATTGGCCGAAGGCTCTTCATAACGGGGGCCTCTAGGTGGTGAGGGCTACTGTTTCGCCGCTTTCTCCCAGACACTTTGAGTACTTTAAAGAAGCTGTATTGTGAGTTTATTAGCCTTTGGCTAGGGGGTCGAAGGCACTCTAGTGTTCGTCGTGGCCTGTTTGGCATTTGAAGCGCTGTGATTTGGATCTGCCATATACTCCATCAAAAATATAATCAAATTCTTCACATCTTAAATTTTCAAAATTTGAGTTTTTTTTATTATTTTTATTAATTAATAAGAGAAAATACAATCCAAAAAATGATCAAAATTGTGCCTTTTGACGAACTCAAGATGAAAATGTTACATGTGCACGGCGCCCGGCCTGTGTAGAGCCTCTTCCACACTTCCGCTGTCGGATACGGCAAGAATATCACTCCCAACGCGGTAACCCCTACGCCAAAACCATTCAGATTTTCCTTTTCCTTTTCAATTAGTCTTCAAAGTTGTGCTCAATTTCTTGATCTAAACAAAAACGCACCAAGAATTTTCAAAGCAGGCTGTTTCTAAATATACTCTTCTGTTTTCATCAAATAAACGTACCGGAATAGCAAAGCTGCTTCTTTTCCTGCTCCCTTTTGGATTAATGAAAAACTACTCCAGGGAGTCATACTTGGGTTAGTCCAGATTGATTTTTTATCTCATCACTCTGCTTTGGAAATGGATATGGTTTAAAGGGTATGTGCTCCTTCAATTTTATACTTACTGATTTTATTTTCCTACAATTATAATATCCTATTTCTCATCATATTTTGTTGTGTGTTTTTGGGTATGGAATAGTTTACATTTTATGCTTCAGCTTAGTTGACTTTTGCCTAATTAGGAAGCTGATGTAGTTAAATGTGTTTTTACTTTCTAGTACTACTCCGTCCCGGAATTATCTCCTTATTTGACTGAGCACGGGTTTTAAGATAGTGGGAAATGTGTGGTGGAGAGTTGTGCACAGGAAAGAGAAATGTGTAAGAATGATTGTGATCCACAAATTCTTTGCCAAAAAAGGAAAAAAGAGATAAATTTGGGACGGACCGAAAAGGAAAGAATGAAGATAATTCCGGGACGGGGGGAGTATTAAACTATATACACCAACATATAAAGCATTCCATCCGTATTGTATCTTACTTTGTTGTTGCGAATTATAGAGGAAATACACCGGAAAGGGTAGGCAAACACAACATCTTTTTATCTACTTTATAAGCTCAAGATGTTCGGTATTTGCTCGAAATACTTATGGTTTACATTATGGTTTAAAATAAAACATCCAACCAAAAATAGTATTAGTAATCCATTACGTATGTAAATATGTAATGCTCATCACATGATACCAAACACAGCCTTATTGTATTTCCATCCAGTTTATTACGTTTTCATCTTAATATTTGCTTATACGTTCTCTGGACAGGAGTCCAGGAGATAACTTACATTTTCGGTTGACTCAATGACTCCCATGAACCAGATTGTTCAGATGGTATTCATTATTGTTTTGATGCCCTGTTTGAGCTTTGTTGACTTTCTTAATTAGTAATCAGGAAGATGATTTAGTTGAATGTGTTTATAATATGAGATTATATAAAACTACTATAAAGCAATAGACACATATTGTACGGAGTATCGTATTTCCCCTTCTTACCGTTAGTCGCAAATTGTAGAAGAAATGCACCAGAAAATGGTCAAACAAATATGCTATCCTTTTATGAACACTTTAAGCCAATGAAATCTCGCACTTGCTAATCAGAAAGCTGATTTATTTGAAGTCTCGTGATTCCATTATCATAATTTAAAATGAAAGATCAAACCAAGCATAGTAATCATATTAGTATGTAATGATGATTACACACCAGACCAAACATGGCCTTATTGCACTTACCCATTTGTATTATCTTATTCTGTTTATTATTATTTGCTTATATGTTTTCTGGGAGTGAAATAGCTGACATTTATGTTGACTCCCACGAACCAGATTTTCTAGATGGTATTCGTTATTGTTTTGATGTGCTGTTTGAGTTTCATTGACCTTTGTTAATAAGAAGCTGATATAGCGTAATACTCCCTTTGTCATGAAATTATCCTCTCGTTTTGAATTACACACTTATTAAGAAGTGTGGTTGAAAACGTTTTTTAAAGTCTCTGGTTGAAATGAGTGAAGTTATAATAATCACATATTTCTTTTTTAAAGAGGAAACTTGAAAATAAATCCTGGAGAGAGAGTATATGTTTCATAATATGGTTTGTGATGTAACTTAAACCAACATATAAAACATTAGAATAGGTGGTATGCTATTTTACATTGTCTTCTCATGGTTAGTTTCACATATTAAGAAAATATGTATGCAGCATGATCACCCTAACACAGTATTTCACCTTCAATCCCTACACTAGTCCTCAATTTTTTCTTGGCACACAGTTTAAGAAAGTGACGATGGTATGGTTGATATTTAATTAGAAGAGATAGAAACTGTGAACCGTATATTGCTTTTCTTCAAAAGAAATGAGCAACAATAATGGACTGACGAAAAGGAAAGAATGTGTATAGTTTAGGGGTAGAGTGAGTGCATTTTATGCACAAGAAAGTTGACGTTTCAATTTGATTTTGTTGAATTATTTTTCATTCTATAATACTCCCTCCGTCCCGAAAAGTTTGGCCAAATTTCCTTTTTTGGATGTCCAAAAAAGATTTGCCATTTCCATTTAAAGTAAGGAATATGTGGCTAAAATTAATTCTCTCTCCTCTTCACAAATTTCAACCACACAGTTTTTACTTTACTAATCCACGTGAAAGTCAACTTTGGCCAACCTTTTCGGGACGGAGGGAGTATAAGTTACTCCCTCCGCCCCTTATAACTATTCCATCTTTCATTTTTTGGTTGTCCAAATGTTTTTGCCACTTTCCCTATTAATCAATTAATTTGTGAATCATACTATTTCTGTCTCCTCTACATAGACCTCAACCACACAATATTTACCTTTTATTTTCCCTGCCGGTCAAACTTAACAAAGGTTTATGGGACAGAGGGAGTATGTGATTAGACCTAAACCTAGACTACACATAAAACCTTAAGCATGTCTTATTTTTTCAGTTTCCTGATTGTCAGTTGTACATTGTGGAAGAAGTGCAGAGGAAATGACAGTCATAACATAGTACGTTCTATCTTTTTATGTGAACATTGTTTAGATCAAGGAAGTTGATTGACAGTGAGGATGATCTCCACTGATGTGAGTGGGAATGATGGTAGAGTTGAGGAATCTACTCATTCTAATCCTTCTTCTATGCACATTTCTTCATCCCAAAGAGGACTGGTTACTGATGAAGATCCTCAAAAGCGGTTCCAAGGCAGTTCTCTCTCTGTCCCGAAGAGACTTCAATTCCTTAACTTCGGAAATTTGTCTTCTCCTTCTGCCAAGTTTCAGCAGATTGCTGAGGAGAAAGATGAGATTTCTCGTTCCGTCCCATCTTCAGGAAGCGTCCGTCTCCGTGAACGTTTAAGTCGCCTCTTTTCTAGGAAAATTGATTGGGCGTCTCTCAATAAAATCACTAAGGAGTGGATAAGGGATCCGTTAAACATGGCGCTTCTTGTTTGGGTAGCATGTGTCGCCGTCTCAGGGGCGATCCTCTTCCTGGTGATGACAGGGATGTTGAACCGGGCCATCCCGAAAAAATCCCAAAGGGATGTTTGGTACGAAGTGAACAACCAAATCCTCAATGCGCTTTTCACTCTCATGTGTCTCTATGTGCACCCGAAACGGTTGTACCACTTTGTGCTTTTGGTACGGTGGAGGCCTGAGGATGTTTCCAGGCTCCGAAAGGCGTATTGCAAGGATGGGACCTACAAGCCCAACGAATGGACCCACATGATGGTTGTTGTTTTGTTGCTTAATCTCAACTGTTTTGCCCAATACGCTCTTTGTGGGCTTAACTTGGGTTACAAGAGATCTCAACGGCCTGCTGTGGGTGTGGGCCTGTGTATCTCTATTGCCATTGGCGCACCCGCAATTGCCGGGATTTACTCCATGCTTAGTCCACTTGGGAAAGACTACACTCATGGTCAGACACCCGAGATGGACGAAGAAGCTCAACTCCAACCGAAGGGGAAATTAAGGAAAGAGTCTTTGGAGAAAAGGTTCTCTTTTGCGTCGCGCGATGGGAGGGATGTAGAGACTAACCCACAGTGGAGTGGGGGTATTTTGGATTTCTGGAATGACATTTCTACGGCGTACCTCTCGTTGTTCTGTACTTTCTGTGTGTTTGGATGGAATATGGAAAGGATGGGCTTAGGGAACATGTACGTACACATTGCAACATTTCTTCTGTTTTGTATGGCCCCATTTTGGATTTTCAATCTAGCTGTCGTTAACATCGATAATGACTCGGTCAGAGGGGCACTGGGAGTGACGGGCATATTCCTATGCTTGTTTGGTTTGCTGTATGGTGGGTTTTGGAGGATTCAAATGAGGAGGAGATACAATTTGCCGTCTTATAATTTCCCGTGTGGAAAATGTAAATCGTCTGTGGCTGATTGCGCACTGTGGATGTTCTGTTGTTGGTGTTCTTTGGCTCAGGAGGTTAGGACTGGGAATTCATATGATATCGTGGAGGATAAGTTCTACAGGAAACAACCCAATAATGGTCCTATTTCTCCTTTGCCCCGAGAAGATGGGGTGTTTAAGTCGAGTCCAAGTTCTTCCACACCGAACGGGCCCGTTCATGTCCAACTGATGATGAGTACCACGCCAAGCCCAAGTAGATTCTCATTAGAGCGTGATGGCCCAGGTAATCACAAGTTTCCCAGTATACAGAATATCACACACATATATCCCCTGTCTTTTTTGGTAAGAAACACTTGTTGAATTTGTCAAAACATTGTGATCATTTTCCCAACTTTATCTCACTTTATATTTTCCTCTTTATTTATCATTTCACGATCTACTTTTTACAGAATAGTCCTACCTTTTCTTTATTTTAGAAGGTTAAAACAGTAAAATAACAACTTTCTCTTTTTTAAACTCATGTCAAACTCGAATGTATCTTACATTTTAGGGTGGACACATCCCTGTTCCGGGTCACATAAAGAACGGAACTAGAACCGTAAATGGGTATCCAGTTGCGTTCTGGTTCTCAGATAGGTTTCTAAGCCTATTTATAATATACCAGAAGTCCAGAACCAATAAAACTGGACTCGGTTTGGTCCCATTTCATTACCAGTCTGGAACCTGAGAATCTTTCTATCTCGCCAAAGAACCTGGTCCTGGTCCGGTTCCAGGACCGGGTCACTCCTAAGCGTGAGTGTCTTTTTGGAGAGATTTTCACAATGTGTATCAGTTTTCAAAAACCAAGACAATATTTAATGCTTTTTTCTATTTTGCTTATCTTTAGGAATTAAAAGGTCCTAAAGTAGGCATCTTTAATCTCTGCCCATTTTTTATACGTTAGTATGGGTAATATTGTAAAAACACCTCTGTTTGTTATCTCATTTATTGATTTCTTCCAATGGGACACATTTTTGTGAACAAGAGGAAATATTAAGTAGTCATTTATTATTCCATTTCCTAATCATATTGGTATTCCCGCAGATGCATCTAATGTGGGAGGTAAGAGTGATCCTATGACACCGCCTCCTCCGGTAGTCATACAAAGAGAAGATGTATAATGCAATTGTTTTGAGGTTACACTTGGATATTCGGGAGATTCGTCCGACACCAGAAGTCTAGTCAGGGTTAAGTAGAGAGTTTTCTTGGATTGTGAGATGTATGTATATTAGCCTTTTTGTATTCATACTGTCGTAGTATTCTTCTTTTTCCTTTTGAATGTTTTGTTATTATGTATAAAAAATATATAACTGCTTCTCATCCGTAGGTTTGTTGTTTTCATTTAGTGTGTGTAAAGGTATCAATTATCATGTGAGATTTGTGTGTGGGAGATGTTACTTTGTTGGATCGCTGAGGGATTTCAGACTTGCAGTGTTATTTGGTTCTCCATTCTCTATTTCATTTTCTACATCTAAAGATAATGTCTTTATGAGCACTTGTTACAAAATTGTTACGAGTTTTTTAATACCAAATTACTCTAATACTTGTCACCTTTGACGCCAGTTAATAAGTAATAACCAGACGGGAAATTTCCCAAAATATGAACAAAAATGAAGTGATTTTAAAATGAGTATTTTGCTTTTTCCCTCGCAAAGCTCTTGCTTATGTAGGGTTTAGTTTTTCTGTCGCACAAGCATACAATCAGCTTTTCCCTTGCCACGGGGATGGAGATACGTGTTTCTTGGCTTTGGATGATTGGATTCTTGACCAAAACCTAATTGTACAATCGTGACGGGCGAAGCTCTCCATAGTCGTCTTCTTTGTGCTTGGAGCAATGCTTGTAGCAGTGGTGGCGGCGTGGCGCCTACAACGACGGCTGCTTCACTTGTGGTCACTTGAAGTGTTGATAATCTGATACGCTCTTGAGTCGTCATCATGGTGAGAACGAGTGACTAGGGTTCGCTTTAGTTTTATTTCAAGTTTTATTTTTATTTTTATTTTGGTAGACTGTTTGCTTTATTTTCAGGTTGTACATGCTAGTCGTAGTCTTGAGTTATCTAGTATAGCTATGATCGGAAGTTTTGAGATCTCTACAATCATTAATTGATTTAAAGTTCTTGTATGTTCAGCGAAAAGTTTCGCTCAATTTTGGGTGACTTTTCCTATGTCTGATCAGGGACTGAGAGAGCCTTTTGGCTATTATGAGTCTAGCAAAAAGTGGTAAGGAGTAATGTGTAGGGCAGAGCACGGGTCGGGTTCGGGCGGGTCGGGTTCAAAAATGATAAATCCGTTCGGGTATCGGATTGATAATTTCAAACCCTACCCTATCAAAAAAAATTATCGGTTTTTTTCGGGTTGAATAAATTCGGGTTGATTCGGGTTTCGGGTCCATTCGGATTTTAATTTATTATTGTTGAAATTGTGATAAATAAAATGGTAATTGGTAATTGGTAATTTTAATTATTGTTTAATTTATTCCTAATGTGACCTTTAAGGTCAGAAAGAAATCTATGTTGTCCGTTTTGTGGTCACCAATTCGCTTTGCTTCTTCGGAGTTGGCTGTCTAATAGTATGATTGTATGGCGTTTTTTGGGTTTATACGAGGTTTGTTAAAAGATAAGTGGACGACTTTGAGTTGTTGGCTAATTGTAACTCGACTTGTGAGTGTTGTGCATAACCTTCCTCCACCTCCAAATAAAATCTCCCACAGGGATCAATTGACCTCCATCCCCCCTGTTGTCCTGAAAACAATAAATCCGAACAACCAGCAACCAAAACCTGCCGGAGCAAACATACAACACCTTATGGACAGAACCAATGACCGCCACATAAAAAGGCACATCCACGAACAGGATCGATTATCCTTTCGCAAAACGATCAGAACGAACGACAGCCAAAAAACCCTACATAATGAGGGAACAGACCGCTAGGTAGAGAGAGACTCTCATTTTCAGGTCTAATATACGATTTGAAATGACATAACCCGAATGATTTAGGTCTGTCTAATGGTTTCATGGTCGTACCGTATATTTTTCTTATAACTTTGATCTATATGTCTATTTTTTGTAATTACTAGTGATGGACAGTGTACCCGGGGGGTAGCTTATCCGAGGGGTTATTACGGGGAATAACCAGAGAGAAGTCAGAGCAAGTAAGTAGAGAGAGAGTATATTAGAAAATGTAAGCGTTTTTAGCGTGGTTTACAACGGGGAAATGGGGTGCTATTTATAGTAGTAATAAATGTCAGACAGGGACACGTGTCAAGCACCCATTGGCCGAGGGGTCACCTCAACTGGTTGGCGCTGGCAACTGCATGTGGCCGCATTTAATGCGGCTGTTGGATGTGACGTCGTACTGGGTACGGTGATCTATACGCATGTGGAGAGGATATTATGTCGGAAAAGGTGCCCTCGGCTGTAGGTGATTAGCCGAGGGCTCTAAGTGCCGGGGACCCCCTTAGTGCCGAGGGCTCTAGGTGCTGAGGGCTACTGTTTTTTGCCGTTTTCTCCCAGTAACTTTGTCTTCCTGTTTTGGCCCTTCTGTGAGGTTCAGAGCCTTCGGCCAGGGGGCCGAAGGCACCCCTGGTGCGCATTGTGGGCTGCTTGGTACCCTGGGCGCCGTGATTTGGGCCTGTTGTGCTTCCTGGGCCTATTGGGCCTTTATTGGAGTAGTAGGAGTCTGTGGGCCGGGGGTTCCCGGGCCATATACTCCATCAGGAGTCCCTCACTCCTTTTGCCGAAAGGTACTTGAGGGAAAATGAGTAATTGTGTTTGTCCTCTGCCGTTGTTCCGTTGTAGTTTGTAGAGTTGTGGGTAGTTTGCCGTTTGTTTACTCTGCCGAGGGCAGTCCCTCAGTTACCCACATGTCGGGACTTGAGGGGGCATGTTTGTGATTTTTGTGATTTTCCCGAGGGGGTCCTCCAGTCCCCCACTCCTTGAGGCACTTGCAAAGTGGTGAAAAGGAGTAGAGTAATCATGTTGTTGTATTGGGCCGAAGGCTGACGCTTTTCGTTTCATTTTGGGGGGATGCCTCGTTAAAAACCTCATTAGGAAAAAACCTTTGGGAAAAAATCCCAATGAGGGAAAAAGAGTGCACCGAATTCCCCCAACGATGAATCGAAAACGTGAAGCCCTGGTTTGAAATGGAGTGCAATGTTGGTGCCGAAGGCTATCCTTACTCTGAGGGCGCGGGTGTTAATTAGCCGGAGGCTTGCTGTTGATTATCCTGGGAGGTGCCGAAGGGGAGTCCCTCAATCTGGGGATCGAGGGCGTGATGAATGTGAGTAGTAGTTGAGGTGTTACCGGGGTGTCCCCTGTTTGCTGATTAGTTGGTGCGGAGGGTATCCGAGGGCTCCCGTTACCTGTGTGCCGTAGGCTATCCGTCAACGAGGCGTACTCCCCGGGGGCTACCCGGCCCTCAAAGTGCTGAGGGGGGATCCCCGAGGGGTGTGCCTGTTATGAAGCCGTGGGCTTCTGAAGGAGTGAGCCCGAAGGCATTTGTTATGTAGTGTGAGGGGCACAAACCGGGAGCGTCTCTGGGTAAGTGTACTGCTAAATATTCTTGATGAAGTGTAGTGAAGTAAAAAGCCCGGGGGCTAGTTCCTTGGTTGATGAAGGAGTGGGCTGCTAAATGTAGCCGGAGGCTCCCAGAATATAGTCGTTGAGAATATAGCTGTTGGAATATCTAACGCCACTATATAGCCGTTGAGGGGGGCACACGTGGCGCGCGACGGTTGGCTGCCCGCGGGCGGCGTTACCGATTGGGCGAAACCACGGTTTGTAATGATGACTTGGTGACCGGAGACCCGGTTTTTGGGCCCAAGCCCGGATCTGGGCGCCTATAAATACCCCATGGCCGGGCATCATCCCTCTTGTGCGATCATTTGTTAGCGAAGCTCTGCCCAAATTTCTAGAGAGAGAAAATCCAGCCTTCGGTCGAATCCCCAGCTTTCAAGGTCAGTTCTTGCCCCGCTTTCGGTCATTCTTGCATACTTTCCTTCCTTCTCACCTTTCGGCCTTAGATTAAGTGCCCGTAGCTTAGGGCTTTTAGGACCTCCCTTCGACCCTTGATTTAGTACGAAATGTCCTCGCAAAGTGATTCCCAAGATATTTCGGGGGAGCCTTCAGTTGAGATGGAGACGTACTCCGACGTTGAGTCTTCGAGCGAGGAGTCTTCGGTGGGTGGTAACGCTGCAGTGGCCATGGAGGTGGAGAAGGACCTCCGGGCCGAAGTCGAAGCCGAAGATTTCAAGCAGGTGAATGAGGACGAAGAGCTCGCCCTTGCCGTGCAGACTGCTGAAGAGGAAGAGGAGAGGGAGAGCATGAAGGTGACGGTTGCTGTCCTTCCCCCTCGTGGTGTCGGGGAATCCAGTTCCTCCCGCCCCTTGAACCCGACGCCCATCAATGTGGCTCCCGGGAAAAAGAAGACGATGAGGGCAGCCCGAAGAAGAAACAAGCGGCCGTTGATGCCGGGCGGCCGGTAGGCATACCCGAGGGCCACTCATTCCTGAACACCGCTGCCCTAGAGCTGAAGACGAGGGCGTCCCCGGCAGAGTACCAGGCCACTCAGATCCTGGTTGGCCCTTCAGCGCGCGTGGTGGAGCCTGGGGCAGATGACTTGTTGCGATATGCACCCGAAGGGTGCTTTGCTGTTCACACCCTGTCGGTGGAGATGGGGCTTCGCTTTCCGCCCCACCCCTTCCTGCTGGAATATCTGAGATTCGTGGGGTTGGCCCCATGCCAGCTAACGCCCAACAGCCACTCTTATGTGGCCGGCTTCCTCTCCCTGTGCCGGAGCCGGGGGGGTTCCACCTACCCTCGACCAGTTCTTTATGTCCTTCAATCTCTGGCGGGGGGGACATTCAAACGCTGAGGGCTTTGCCAACCTTCAGCAGGTGCCGGAGTTTAGGCTCTTCGACGACGTCCCTTCGTCCCACAAGGGTTGGAAGGAGCGGTTTTGCTACATACGTTTGGAGGAGAACCCCTTCCCGGCTCAGCTCCGCAACAGCTTCCGGCGCCACCCGAAGGTAGGGAGCGCGGCCGTGGAGAAGAATGGCAGAATACTTGCCAAAAAAACGGAGGAGTCCGATAAGCATGTTAAGATCAAGGACGTCACTCTCCCTGAAGAACTGTTTAGTCTTGGCTTCCGGCAGTTCAGGCCGAGGGGTTCATCAGATGAAAGATACCCTCCCCTCGATCGTGTCTTCGAAGGAGCCGGAAGTTATTATCGAAGGGTTTATTTGCAACTTGATAGTTTTCCTTCATATTTTTTTTTACTCTATGCCATTGTAACAGACACCCTTCGGTTTAACCATTTTGTATCTTGTTCTTGCAGGTAATACCATGGACGTCAGCTCCCTCTTCGCTTTGAAGAATGCTAAGGGGAAGAAGAAGGGCCTGGCGGGCACTTCTGCCAGGGAGGAGCCCTCCTAAGCCGCTGCCGCCGGTGCTGGCGCCGGGGGGTCCAGAGGTGCTAGGCCCGTGAAGAAGAAAAACA